TTTGAATACCTGAATTTGCATTGCATTTCAATAAACCATTATATTTACTTTGCTTGTAACAACCATGTTAGTTTCCAGCACGTGCAACGTTAATCAATAGAGTTCGTTTGTGGTCAAAGGGCGGTAATTTTAACTTTGTGTGGTCTATTGTAAAATCCCTGAGGCCACCGTCACTTATTACTTGCATTTTAGAATAGAGATAATTTATTGCATAGAAGAGGTCTGTAGTAACATGCATTCCTGTTAACTATTCGCTTTACAACCATGAATTAGCATATTCCAAGTCTGTTAATTGGACTATTCATTTGGTTTTTGTAATTACTTGAAGAATGTCACTATCCCAAATTCAGTAGTGATTCTTGAGATACTCCCTGAATTGTAACGAGGTTCAATCCCGGCATAGGTCGAGATTTATCTAGCCCTAGCCCTTTGTCAGTTTTGCGGATTGGAGGGACTGACATGCGAAGCCTTTTGTCCTATTATAATACCCGAGTGTAAGTAAAAGGCATTTGGAAGTTGAAATGAGTGTGCCAGAGCTGTCCTGACAAAAATCCTTCTCATGACACTAAGCATGGCCCTCCCTCATCTTGTTTGGTCCAATCTAGTACACAGGTCTACAATAGAACTCTTTATTTGATTGCATTGGAGATCACACTTGCAAAGCTTCTATCATTTATCTAAATATTTACGAAAATCTGCACGAGGATAGTAGGCTGTATGACAAGTCATTTTGCTCTGAATACCTTACCTCTTATGTGGCTAATAATTATTTTCATGTGAATTGAGATACCAAACAAAGAATGGTATGAGGTTTTTAGTTTTGGGTGGATGATATTACACACAATCAGTGGCAGCTCCAGCCTCTCGAGACTGGGGGTACAAATAGGGATCAGACTGATTCAATGGGGTAAATATAGAGATTGAGAAAATCTTTGAAAAAAATTGATTTGGTGCATTTTGACCATACTTTGTGACAAAAACGTATTAAAATCTAATGTTTAATTTTGCTACAAATGAGGTAGGAAACAAACCATTTTCCCAAGTCGGCCGCAAATTGTGTAAAATGCCCCAAAAAAATCAATTCTGAAGTGTAATCATGAGGGAGGGGGGGGTTATTTCATGTTGCATTTTACACATTCAAAGATGCATTTTATTTACCTCTGATTCATCAATTCTTGAAATAAAGAATTAGACGGGTAATGTTTCAGTTATACACATAAAAAAACCTCCAAGTCCTCTGGGCGATAGTTCAAAATGTAAATAAACTTCCATTTTCTCAGATTGCTTATCTCAAAGCAAAATATTTGTCATCATCACTGATGTATGCACGTAATTTTCGTCTGTTGTTTTTATCACGTGACGATGTTTACGAGATGCACTCGCTTCAAAATCATATGACGATGGGAGATGAAATTAATAAAGATAGTCCAGAAGACAAAAAAAGAAAAAACAAGGATATGGAATCTAAGCTTTTCAAACATTTTAACTAAGAATCATTCAATTTCGAAGAGGGGTCAATGACCCATAAAGTTTATGTTAGAGAAGAGAAACTGAACAGACTCAAGTTATTTATTCAAGGATATTCATTGAGATGTTCATTGACGACGTAGACCGAAACATCTGCCCCCATGGCAGCCTATGATAGCTATTTCGAAAGTTGGTGTACTACAGCCGATAACTGCCAAAATATCTATCAGAGGCAATAGCATAAATCCGTCGATCAAGATATTTTCAAAAGTTTAGCTTTTGTTAAAATCTGATTTCATCAAAATCAAATGGGAACGATGAACATACGGACAGACGAGGGCAAACTGTAAATATTACCAAATACAGTATGTTCATCAATGTTTATTATTTACATATTATAATATTATAAATAATTTTATCAAAAGACATTTTCTATCAAAATTCTAGAATACCATTACTCAAAGGGATACAGTTGTCAAATCAATATCTTGCTTTACCAGTTGTAATTCTTTACAGAATACGAGTCCTTTTACTTTCTGATATTCCATAAATAAATTAATGATCAAAGGTAATAAAGACTAAGGTCAACCAAGCAAATTAAGGTGTTCAGGCAGTAAATCATATGGTCAAAGGGAGATAATTTTAATTTTAGTGTGGTCTGTAGTCTTGTAATTCATTTTAAGAACTGTATCCTTTTAAAGTGAAAATATTTTTCTACCATTGTCTTTATATTTAGCCTTTCCTCCTGACTAAGATATTAATGTCCATTAATCTAATATAATCTGTAAACCAGCCTGCACAGCCAAAATCATCTTCACAATGGTTAATGTATTACAAACTTTGTCTGAAACCTTGACTGCAATAGCCACTAACCTTGTATTATAGACTGTACAATGGTGAACACAGCTAATCAGAGCTCTCAACAGAACGTCTGTAAATAATAAGCCATAATGTTAAGTCTTTCTGTCCAGGCTTCTGATTGGCTGTATTGGCTGGCATACACACTGTAAACCAATCAATAACTGCATTCTGTGATACCAGAACAGTGGCTATTGTAGTCAAGGTATAAGATGGTAATACCTTGACTATTGTGAAGATAAGCCAAATAATAAGGCATATATATCTTTGACTTAAACATCACCAATAACAATGCATAATTTCTATAGAAAAATCTACTGTATAATGCAACATCAAAAAACAAAATCAAACCTTATCATTTAATTAGTGGATTTTAGCACTATTAACTATTTATTTTACCCAATACACCATGTATTGTGTTTGCGTTGTGTTTGTGTACCCATATGTGAAATAAATAATAAACGGTCTGCCATATTCTAGACACTTCCTTCATAACATGATTATCATTGCACATATTTGAAAAATAATAATTAGTGGTATATACATTTGTACATTTAAATACACAGCTTGCTTGGAAAACTTATCTACAAATTTAGCAAAATAAATGGCAAAATTCTGAAGCTTTTAACTAAAAATATCAAGCCATATGAGGCCAATCACCAAAATTAGATTAAACTGATTAATTAACACTAACAATGCTCAGTTTTTATTCACCCCTTTTAAAAAAAATTTACAATGTTTTTGATGATAGAAATTTTGAATACTGCCCTTTTAAGTAAGTTTCAAAAGCAATTATTTTTTTTCTTACCATCCTCTTTTGTTTTTTTTATGTAACCATTTGAATTGAAATTAAATAAATAAATTTCAATGTAGTAAAATGTAGATTTTGGCTGCAAATTGTCCTCTGTAAAATCTAAAATTCAATTTATCAAATTAAGTAGGAAGACAGTAAGAGAATAATTCATTCAAATTCATAAGAAATATGAGCTAAATGTTTTAAAATAAAATGTTAGCAGATCACAAAAAAATGTATTACAATCCTTGTCTTATACCTTGACAGCAATAGTCACTATTCCTGTATCATGGAAGTTTGAAAATTCAGTGATAACAAATGTTCTCTTAAAACAAATTATCAATAACACAACAAGTTATAACAATTTTGTTATTTACCCTAATAATCTTAAAGGGATCGTAAAGAGGTTTTTTAAATTTTTATTTTGATCTGGGACACTGATAGCATCAATTTGCAAATTTTGCACCAATCCAATTTTCATTCAGACGTTCCTGCAATCACTAAAAATAAGTTTTTGATGACGTCAATTAATATAAATATGCTTTATCACATAAGGCACTTCACAATAAGTGAAATTGATGCTTCCAATGTCCCAGATACACATAAAAAATGTAGAAAACCTCATTACAATCCCTTTAAATAATTTGGTAATCAATATAGAAAACAATATTATTGCAAAAACATAAAATCAATTTCCTTAATAATGACATCATGCTTTAAAAAAAATAAAACGTTACGAAAAAATTCATGGCAAGTTCAAAAAATATAGTCGTAAAGAAGATTTTGTGCAAAACTCAAAACAGGAAACTTGTGCAATTCATTCCATTTTTAGGAAGTCTCATTAGTATAGTTTTGATTACTATTTATCTCAAGATGAAGATGACTACTCTGGTTTATGCTTTGAATATTTCCTGAATAAACACAAATAGCTTTGACTTACTAAGTAGCATATTACTATCTGCATAGATTTGACAAAAATATACAAAATGTTGCCTTCTTTAATGTTCCGTTGCCAAGGCATAGGAATAGTCTTAAATTTTCCTTTGGGAGCCGCGGTGGCTCAGTGAGTTAGACACTTGCTCGCTAACCTGAAGGTCCAGGTTTCAATCCCCGTATAGGTCGAGATAATACCTTCAGATTTTGATGCAAGTAAGAGGGGCTGACTTGGAAAAAGCGTCTAGTCGTTCAGATGGGACAATAAACCGAGGACCTGTGTGCTACAGGTTGTGCACGCTAAAGGTACATGAGCGGTCTTGGTCAGAGATTTTTGTTGCTGATTACAGTTTTGAGTAAAATCTCACATGTGCCCATGCTTCAACAACAAGATTATCATGTCCCTGACAGGATTTATAATATCAAACAAGTTTGATAATTGTCTCAGTTTTATCGTCTGCAAAACAGACCGTCATCATTCAATCAAACTCATTTGTATGCTGCGCCCATGATTACCGACTGGAGATTTTTGTCCACTCATGTTCCCGTGCCAGTTAGTGAAACTCCTGAATTTATATATATAGTCTGCAACAAAAATCTCTGACGATAGCTCGTGTGCCCACGTCTTAACCAACAGAATTACTTCATGAGCTCATTCTAGGTAATATCTCAAAATACTAAATTCGATTGATACAGTATTAAATTCTCAGCCAAAAATCGATTTATTGGTAAAAAAATTGCTGTATATAATAGAAACTTAAAACAGTTGTTATTTTTGAAGTAATTTTCTCCTGCTTATGTAACATGATTGCTTAGTGGTCAAATTAAATAAGGGGAGGTAATTAGTAAGTCACAAAAAATATCAGCTTATTGGCTCCAAGGTTTGCAATTAAATACAGTACCCTCATACAGCAAGATGACCTTGTCGGTTCAATGGTCAATCTTTGCTTCAATCATATAAGCCTTTAAATCGATCTGTGTTTTCAACAACAGGCTTTCTAGGTCTAGGGGGACTGCGGGGTGCAAAGCGAGCACGCAAACCTGAAGATCTAGGACGCAAGGATCTTTCACCATCTTCATCTTCATCATCACAATGACAAGGATTGTCCATATCTGAATCAGAATCTTCTGCTGAGGTGGAATGATGCTCCCATAATCCTAAAGTTCCATCCCACTGAAATTTGAAAAGTAATTACTCTTAAGAATTGACATTGCTAGATGCATCATGTCCATTAGGCATCAATGTCATAGTTAGCATACAAGATAATCCATGCATATCTAACTGAATCATGGTGACTCTGATGACTTCAAGGATCAAAATGGTGAGATCACACCATAAATAAGTGCTTATGTGATTTATGTTTAAAGGGATTGTTAAGAGGATTTCTAAATTGTGTATGCTTATAGGGGACACTGATAGCATCTATTTGCACCATTCCAATTTTTCAGCAGACATCTGTGGTGCTACAGAAGCTCAACCTAACTACTAACTTACCGAAGTACTAATGAGTTTATTATAATAAGGATGCCAAGACACATCTCTAACACAAGCACTATGTTTATCTAACTTCTTTACAACAGCACCAGTTAACAAATCATAAACTGTCAAAATAAATTCAATTTTGTAGGAAATTTACATTGAATTCATTCATAAATTTGAGTGTTAAAGATGGGTTTCCTTATTTTTTAGTGTCAAATTAAGCAAACTATTTGACTAATTGGTGTTTCGAATGAATTAGCATGTATTCTTTATCATATCATTAATTTCTTATATTGCATATAATTTTAGTTTTAACCAATCATAAATGTCCATATATGTACAGTCTAGATAAACAAAAAAAAACTTTTTGACCTTTTTTGATCGGTCATTCATTGCAATTCTGCTGGTAATTCTCTCAAATAAACTCGTATTTTTCATTAGAACACCTCTACTTCCTATATATATAAGTATTAGCATTTTGATTTTCATAAATGGAAATGAGGGAACCCATCTTTAAAATGATTTAAATTTCTGTACCTTATTGGTAAGGAGTGGACAACATCATGCTGTGTGCAATAAGGCAACATTTTCCTGGAGATGGACGAAGTACTGCATCCAGTGCTTCGACTATGCAGGATTATCAAAACAGTAGAGAATAGAAACATTTCCTCTATTTGAAGCCCATATCAAATGCACAGCCTATAGCTAATTCAGCGACTGTCAATCTCTGACAAAAATCACTGGCATTTGAGTCTGTGGTCCAAGGGTATCATATTGGAGCTTAAGAGAGAACAAACAAGAAATCTCCAATTATAAAGTAAAGGGTCTTTAATCCTCATAATGAATATACTAAACTTACTTATCACAGAGCCAGTAGCACAACCAGTATATACATATCTTTGTCCTGTAGAATATTCAGGTGAAAAATGACATCGTATTAATGTATGTAAAACACAATGACCTTTATAGGTCATCACTGAGGTATCGCCAGGCAAGATATTCTTTGGAACTGAAATAAAAAATATCAATGATGACCCTGATCAAAATTCATCAGAATTTTGGTTCAAAATTGTAACTTTTGTGTAAATTAGATTCAAAAATCTCAAAATCTCTTTATATTGTAGATGAAATACACACAGAATTTCTTTTTTCAATCAAATTTTGAGATATTTTGCAATATTGCTTGAAACACTTCCAAATATCGTGTCCTAGTTGAGAATTTTTACCTTTTCTAGGAACTTGCTGCCATCTGTAATCCCATTTTTGTGCAGAAACCGCTCTTTTTGTTGCCTAGAATATATTATTACTTTGATTATTCTGTGACTATTGTATTTATTTTCTAATTTACTAAACGTCTTTTACAATGTTTTATTTTATGTACACTAATAACCACGTTACCATTTTGTATCTAATGAGGATACATTTATGAAGACTCTGAAAATGATGCCAAGTTAACAAATCAAGTAATCAATAGCATCAGATTTTCAAGAAATGTCAGAAACCTCTGCCTTACAATTCCAATATAGCCTGAAGAATAACTCATGGGACAGTCTTGTCCACGAAAAGAGTTGTGGGCTTATACTCTGATCATAATTTCACAACAGAAGATATTTAAAGAAAAATGTCAACTCACTTCAACACCATCATTACCCGAAAAACTTCGAATATCCCATAATTTGATTGTCTGATCTTTAGAATTGGATAACAAATATCGGGCATCACCTTTGGAATCTATATATGTTATACCATCTCTATGTCCTGCAAATGTTCCTACTGGTACTGGATGATCTTCTCTAAGTGTTCGCCGATCCCATACCTTTTACAAATGAATAATACTTTTCACTACTGGATAAGCAAGTACAAATATATAAGCTATTGTAGGTAAAGATCAATAATCAAAGTTTTTTTTTCACCTTAGCATAGACCATGGTCTTTATCATCCAGAAATGGAAAATTTCACAAAACCTTTACAGTAAATGCAGGTTGTAACTCTTTAGAGATCTTCACATAAAAAACTGCCCATTATTGCACAATTTAGCTCAAGTCACGCATAGAAAGTCTAAAAAAAAATTGTACAATTGTTACAAAAAAAATAAAAACACATGGACATGTCCGCAAGATGTACAGTTGGCAATGTCAATAAAGCATAGATCATAGTATTCATATTCACCAGACCATACTTACTTACCCTTAATATACCATCATCACCACCACTATATAATATCTGGGAATTATCATCAGCAAACGCTACAGCATTTACATCATCATCATGACTTTCAATCTAAAATAATCAAATCCTATCATGCTAAACCCAGAAAATTGTTCATTTTCAATCAGAACAGGGACTAAAATTTCAGGCTTTATTCCAGAATTTATGGAAATTTGTTTTATGCTTTGTGATCCATAACTATATGAAGTATTGTATGGTATATTCTTATGTACTGATAATACAGGATGGGCCATAGCACAGTTGGTTAGAGCATGATGTCAAATGCTGAGTTATGTCGAAATGTGGTTGTTGGTTCTTATTGCAGTTGTATCTGTGAAAGTCTGATGACCTTGCAAAGTATGTCATCTCCCAGACAGAGAGACCCCATCTTCAGATGTATTTCAAAGATTTTAATATGACAAACCTTCAATTTCCTTTGATTGCTTTCTCTATCATATACATATAAACAACCATCATTAGCACTGTAAGAACAACAACATGTAATTGGCAATTGGTATTTCATAGTGAAAAGTGGCATTTCATAATGATAAGTGGCATTTCATGGTAAAAAGTGGCATTTCATAATGAAAAGTGGCATTTCATAGTGAAAAGTGGCATTTCATAATGAGAGTGGTATTACACTGTGAAAAGTGGTGTCAGGTGTCTACAAGATAAAGCATACCCTGCCTGGCGCCAAAGCCTTCTTATTTAATCTTTGGAATGCTAAAAATATTATGGATGAACAGCAGATCTAAAAAGGTATTACCCTTCATTTCTGCCATTTTTTATGACTGATTTCTCAAAGGAAAATACTATCATTTCTTATATTTCTAAGTTTTTTTTACACCATCTTTTAAAATTAATACTACTAAAAAATTTAAAAACTATTGAAAATATACTACTCACCCACCCAATATTTCGGTGTTATCGGAAGAAAAAGTGAGAGAAAAAATACAAAAACTGTGTTCCCCTGGAGTTAAATTTAAGGCCTCGTGAACATCATGGTCACCATGTATACTGCATAAATGAACTGAAAAATACCCCAAGTTTTGTTTAAATTTCAACTACAATGATGACTATCTAATATAAAAATTCAACTCGTTCAACTCGTAGCAACTTCTCTACCAGCCACTTAATTTATGTGTATATACTGGTGTAGAGGCCTCATTACGAAGTGATATCACACAATCTTAAAGCCATATGTTTTAATTTGTATTACTTGGAGTTCAGGGTATATGATGTTAAATATTATTCAAACTTAGTGTTTAAAGGGTTAATTGTTAAAATGTTAAACTAAGACATGTTATTATTGAAAAGTTCAGGTCCACAATTTTCATAAATTTATGCTTATAAGGAAATGAACATGTGTATGCCAGGCCACGTTTTCTCGAACTATCTTAGCGCTTGGATATTCTAGAATCAATGTTAATAGGTAAAAACTTAGGACATCCTAGCGCTATGATCGTTTTGAATTATGTGGCCAGGTGCCTTATCTGGTGAAGGCCTACTAGCCAATTCTAGGGGGTACCAGATATCTTTGAAGAGTGTTTTTGGAAACGACCCTAACCCAATTCCACAGAAAAGCTGTGGACTGTACGCTATATTTGGTTTTGTTTGGTCATTGACTTTGAAAGGAGATCCAGGAGTTGGGTGTCTGAGAACACCAAAGGATTGGGAACCAAGGTTTTAACCAACAAATATACTAACTTGAATCTGACCAACTTGAGTAGATAACATAATTTCCATCAGGGCTATAAGTAAATAAAAATCTACATGTATTTAAGTCATGTAGCCTTTATCTAATCTACAGGTGTTACACGTGTTCTAGAAAAGACATTCTAACCCAATGCACTTATTTCAGATAACAATTTGATTATACTTTTAAAGGGACAGATTCACAATATGTTTGACTAATCATACCTTAGTCTCGGAAACAGGAATTTTTTTTATCTAACTTTAATAATATTATTCTGCAATCACTATCGAAATTTGAGCCTTCAAATCCTTATTGTATATTTGAGGTGATTATATTGTGATCTTCATGCAGTCCTTGAACTTCTAAAGACTATCTACATATATTTAAGACCCAAATAAACCTCGAACTCTGAATGGACTTATATACTGTCATTTCATTTCTGACTCATTTCCACACATCAAAATTCACAACAATGTTGTTATCATCTGGTTTAGACATTTAGGAAGCATATGTTTGAAAAATATAATCGATATTATCTTACCTAAAGGCTGTATCTAATACACTCCAACCAACATCTCTAGCTCGTATAGATTTATAAAGTTTAAATGATTTGTCTGTTTTATAAACACGTAAATTCTGATCTGTAATATATCAATATATTCACTGTATTATAATTTCAATTCATTAGTCAGTTAATTAAAATTAACTACATCAAATTAATGAACAGGCTGTTGTTATGTTCAAAGTCCTGCTTGGTTGAAAATTAAAGGAGCTATTAATTTCACTATTTGTCATACCTACAAATTTATGAAAAATCAGTGGATTCCATAGCATTTCAATAGGCAAGATGACAGGTTTAATATCTTGGGGATGTAAAAAGCGAGATTTATGTGTAACATATCAAATTTTATCAGATGGATTGTCATGAGAAAAATTGCATTGAATAAACAGGCTCTTAGCAATATTCAATAATAAATTACCTTGTGCTGCAGATAAAAATATAGAACCATCTTTTGAATAGGTACCACAGAAAGCTTTTTGATGATATTTGGCAACAGTCTTCACTTTATTTGGTAAAAACCTGAAATTTTATTCCTTACTTATTTTCATAAAAATATATTTTGACCAGCATTGCATAACTAATGAGGTTTTGATTGGTTAATGATGAAACTGAACTTAGATTGACCAATAAGAATAGTTGATTTCAATATTTTTCAAAGATATGATAAACTTGCTTGCATGGTACAAAGATTTGGTTATCTGTTATATTTTTCCTTTTTAAGAAAGATTTTTAGGTAAATTTTTGTTTTGTCAAATGACATTTGAAGCTAAATAACATACTTGGAATTTATAACACATTTATCTCCTTGAGTGAATTGTTGTCTTTTATCTAGACCATGTTCTCTCTGGAAAATACAAAAACAAGTTTTTAACTTTACTCTTGAGACATCCACTCTTATTATGTCTATTGGTCGAAGAAGATGGAGGACACATTGAACACAGGTTGAAATAGGTAAAGTTCCTCAATATTTCATTTTTTGACATGCTATTTTGTTTGGAGCAGTTCTTGTACAATTTTTATTCAATGACATTCATATTTTCGGGGTTGGACAAGAACATCTTGAAGTATATCTGTGAGAATTTTGAAAAAGATCAGTTTACCAACAGCTAAGGTACTACCCATCGAATTTTGGGACGTTTTTTATGGGACACCTGATATATTAACAATATTTTTTTTATGGACATTCATTTCTGACACATCTACAGCAAAATAAGAGATAAGAAATGAAATGGCTAAAGGACATCTGGTGGCCTTCAGAAAGTCAAGGTTATGTTTTATTTTATTTGGCGATGCTGTAAATGTGGACACAAAATCAGCGATAAATTTTGTAAAATATAGATGTAATGATTTTTGTCACTGACATGAATGTTACAAGACAGTACTTGCTTATTCTTCTTGATCATCTAAAGCCACTTTGCGTTTATGTTTGTCTAAATAGATTTTATTATTTTGGTAACTATGAAAGATATATTGTAATTTACTATATATCAATATAAACCCTTACCCTTTGTATAAGATTTGTTAAAGATTTGGAAACTTTTCTTTCATCATATTTTCCTCTGAATCTCCCTGATTTTACTTTCACATCTTGTAATATAAAGTTGTTCTGTAAAACATGGGGAAAAATACTTAAAAGCATACAGCTACCAATCAATTACCAATTGCTAACCCATATCACTTATCAAAATGTAAATATTTGACATCAGGTTGTATATAATAATGTCAAATACCCAATTCAGTAGGAGGTTACTGCAACATTTGAATAGTGATACACTCGTTGAATAATTGCTTATATCAAAGGAAGAAGTAAATCTATAATAGCCTACTTGATTATCTAAATAAGTAGATATTATTTAAAGATCACTTTTTAGATTGAAAATTGGTATCTAGTTCCTATACCATTCAATAAAAAAAAGTCCAAAGAATGTGACTAGAGTATTAATTTCCATCATCATGATAATTTATCATCATACTCCAATAAAGATAGAAATATTCTAATTATTGATATTCATAGAGTGGAAATATCTGCATGAATGACCTTGAAATTTAGACTCTAGTCATTTCTTTCCTATTTAATTACAGACAACCCAGAATCTCATTTTGAAAAGTGAGAGGGTTAGCTCAAATAAAAAAATTTATAAGTGGGTTCAGAAATTTTAAAGCAATTTGATCTCCTTAAATTAAACTAAAACAGATAGAAACTAAATTGAAAACTTACTTCTAGTGAACTCAATTCTGTGGTCAGTTCACCTAAAAATATATAATGAAAATCTCAATCAAATAATTTCCTTTCAGCTTAGGAATTTCAGCTTTATTTATGTTTCATATCATTTAGGAACTAGACCACAGAGCAAAGTTCAAGGTCAAAGGACATGTAAAAAAGTGTCGGTTAAGCATATGGAAAGAAAAATAAAAAAAACTACTGAAGAGATATACTAGGCAAACAAAGAATGGGGAAATAATATCAAAAATATTGGCACCAATTGCATGAAACTTATTGCAGACGTCTGAAAATGGAGGCTTACTAAGATGACTTTACAAGTAAGAAAAGAATATTGAAATTTCTTCTTACCTGAGGGTGATATTCTGGACTCAGACTCCTCCGTTTCCGATCCAGTATCCTCATCAGACTGCGCTTCATCTGAGGAAAAGATGTGAACTTGTCCGCTGTAACAAAAAGTGAAAAAAATTTACAGGATACATTGCAAATTTGTTGCAATTTGCATTCCTGCAAGAAGCATGAATAATTTTATCACTGGAATTGCAACACCGCCAAGAAGATGAAGTTAAATCTCTTACACAATGTGACAACATCAAACAAATTTGGTAATGTGTCCATTTTGACATCTAATTAGTTAAATAATAATTGAATTCCTTTAGTCTTTTCCTGCCTGAATATCACTAATAAACTACATTTTCCAATCAGTTATTACCACCTCCATATAAGTTCATACACAAGCCTAACAATATCACAGCTGTGTGCTTTTATAACATTAAGCACAACATATATAACATATCTTTGAGTGAATAAGTTGAATGCAGTCAATTGACTGTGAACTACATGCACTCTTATCTAAGGAAGTGTCCACAGTAAATACACTGTGATAATATAAATATCAAAACCTGCCGAGTCATGACACACTCAAATCACTATATTTAAAGTAGAACTATTGGCAATCATAGCCCCATTCAAATTTTATAACAAATAAATCAATCAAACCTTTATCGAAGGGTTTATGCATCAAGAAACTTAAGTTTGGCTTCATTGTGATGATAATTTAACTTTATATGGCCTTTATTTAGTTATAAACTTGACTCTTGTGCTTGCTTATCGATACACTAACAACATGTATGGCTTAAATGGCAATTGCATAATTTTGACCCAGGATTTAGTGAGATGTCTTTAGCATTGACAACTAGGAACCTCAATGACGTTACTATATGATGTGAATTTCGTCCAATCAATGCCAAGATGACAATAGCTCCTTAGGGGCAAAGCTTTAGACAGAATGAATTGTATTGATTGTTTCATTTTGTGTTTTGATTGCATTTGACGGATTACCATTTATTTTCAAATTTTCATCAAAATGAAAAATTCAAATTCACAAAATTTATCTTTCCTCTTTTAACATAAACTAGGTCAGTGATCACCTCCCTTTAAATCTTTATATATACATTTATGTAACCATTATAAATCAAATATGCCATCAATATATATATAACCTAACACTGAAACAATTCAAGCATAACTACAAGTACTTTTAAATTTAATTAGTTTACTTGTACTTGCAATCAGTTTACTCGTACTTTTGCAATCAGTTTGTTCAAATAACGAAATATTCATGCTAAATGCATTTATAAGTTATGTTCAAGTAAACTGTAAATAAGCGATAACACTGTATACTGCATTGCAAAGTATACCAATATCAACTTTGAAAATCTTGTCCCTCATTTAGGTTGTAAAATAATTTAAGCAAAACGACATAATGTACTGGTAAGTTAATTTACATGTTCTTGCAATCAGTTTGTTCAAATAGCGTAATATTCACCCTATATTAGGTTTTGATCAAACAAACCGTAAATAATCTATTACACCAAATCCTGTTGCAATGCAGCTAATTTTAGAGATACCAGAAATGTATGAAAATTATTTAATTCCTTCATACAGATTCAGAATTTCAGTTCAGTGGATTCCCCAAGAGATTTTTTATATCCATACATTCAAGAGTACATGAAGTTTTTATTAGAAACGTCAAACAATGAGTATGATTTGAACAAGAAAAATGTGGCAACCCATCTTTAAGCAGGAACTTTGTTTTTGCATAATCATGACCTTGAAAAAATAAAAACAAATTAAAGATAAAACAGAAATATGTTCAATTTTGCATGTAGTAGATAAACCTTTTTTTTTTGCATTCAGATAAGATAAAATCAAAATTCAACAAAAATTTTTTTTCTCTAATTTAGAATGTCATCAGAAGATCATATATTTAGGCTTATTTAACATTATCCTGGAAGTGAAAATACACTATCTATTATATACTTGGACCTGTAGTTCTATTTTCATTTTGAAAATTAAAGAGAATGTGAAAAGGTTTTCTTAAAAAATGTGTGTCACATAAAATTTTTTAGGTGACCTCTTATACAATCCCCTTTATCAGACACCTAAATTTCTCTCATTGCACACTTCATGGAGTTGCTTATTTTCATTAGTCCAATTAGGTAAAAATATCTCATTAAAGATCCTGATTTAGCTTAGGAAACGTATTTCACATTTCAGTTTTTTGCTCACATTTTTTCTGTAACAATTTTTCAATATTTTACAGGATCTAAAAGATTTAGAACTGAACAACCCCATTTCAAAACCAGACTAAGCTCAAATGCTGATATCTAGTGAGGTCGTTGCCATGAAATAAAATTGACATTTAATTTGAAGTTTATATTTTAGTTGTAAACAGAATAATACAGTAGTTATAAAGAAAATAGAACCTTCAATTCATTTGAAATATCATTATGACTAAGCAAAATATTATTTAGGTCAGTTTAAAGTCTGCTATATCTTTAAATACCTGTTTCTAGGTATCAAAGGTCTAAGGTGTGGACTTTTTTTTTATTTGAAATGGACAAGGGATATTGATTTGGCTCGATTAGCCAATCTGCACAAATAAGTGCTGTAAAATGTCAGGGTGTAATGTATTTTTATAAACTTTGAATGAAATTCTCAATAGCCACATATTCAAATGTAAATTCAGATTTATTACAAATTTGTGATTCGTATTTAAAGAAAATTAACAAAAATTTGACGCAAATTTCCTTTGCCAGACAAGCTAACATACACCCACAGCAGCAGTTAATAAGTCTTTTTATGGTCATATGACCGAAAAACTTTGACTTCTGATCAAATTGCCAAAGTACCACTCAATAATTTCTTCAATGAGTTGCTCAGAATATATCTTGCTAAAATATGTGTAGTTTATTATATAAATAAGCTTATATATGACAATTAAAGGGATTTTCTAAACTTTTTATATGTATCGGGGACACTGATAGCATCAATTTGCACCATTCCAATTTTTATCGTTTTATGTCGTCACTAGAGGGGAACTGCATAGATATCATAGATTTTGCAAGCTCCCCTCTAGTGACGTCATAAAATACGTTAATTTTAGTGGAATTGCAAGAACCACAGACGTCTGATTGAAAATCAGAATCGTGCAAATTGAAGCTATAAGTGTCCCCAATGCACATGAAAAATTTACAATTCTTTTAAATTGAATGATATAAATTGACATGGATTCTTACCTACGAATTAAATAGGCTATAATTGACGGCAAATCACTTTCATCATCCATAGGTTCCGTATCACTCTGCATTCTATTTCTGTTTACTGAATTTCTTAATCCCATTCAGCCTTGTTCATATCGTCAATATCAACCTATAATAGATAAACAAGAGACATGTTAAAAAGCACGAAACTGTTAGATGGAAAACCAAGTAAGGTAACAAAAAAATTTCATATCACCTTCATTCAATGAGCTTACATTGTAGGTGAACTGGAATACTGGCAAACCCAATATTTTGTCCCATTGTACATTCAAAATTACTGGTATTGATATTATCTATTTGTAGTTTTGCATAGATATTATATTATCTGAAAGCTTCAAAGGGGAGTGAGTGCAACAAATCCTGTCTCCACATAATATGTTATCATTTTTAATCATTGTCAATAAATGGAATAATCCTTGTTTACGAAGTTTACTCATTTGGTCAGGACTTCTTCAAAAACATACTGATGTCTGAAAAAACATTTTCTTTTAAAATGATCTATTTTATTTTCCTGCATATATGAATTACTGAAATCTGGGTGCCCAAGCCTTAAGCATTTTCTCGTTTTGTTCATTAAAAGTTTGATCAGCTAATTGACAAAGAAAACAGGCGAAATGGTTGAAAGCCAAAACCATGCATATTTTTCAGAAGCACCGATCATTGCATCAGAATTATTCTTACATAAAGAAGGTTTCAAATGTGTGTTATAATTGAAGAAATTATTCAATTTCAAACAAGTTAGTTAAACCAGTTAAGTCATTCGCCTCCCCTGCAAAATTAGAACAAATTCTCAATTGAAGCTGAAATCAGTCTTTATCAGCTATTGCCCCCATGCAAATGTGGCCGCCCCTCTTAGCACATTGGGCTGATTATGGGCCGGCTTATTTACCTCATTCTACCCTTAAGATATAGTATTGCCACAAATTCTATCCTGCGAGCAGGAAACAGAAATTGAGTAATGTTTTTTTCGACTGCTTCCACCGATATCTTTCAGCAAGAAACTTTCCAGTTGTGCTGAATTAAGACAGCCGATATATTTGCCAATTGGCACCAGTAATCATCACAAAACCCAAGTTAAGTTATAAATTGGCCGAGATCTGCAGCTCTAAACTGGCTCTACACACACATCACACAGTTCTAGTTGAGAGGAAAGGAAAGCAATAGGAAACCAACCTAAACTTCAATCAATGGTCGAACCATCTTAATTTTTTTGAACATTCAGTTAGTTAGTTGGAAGAGGCAGTTTACTTAATTAGGCATAGACGGAAACATTTGTCTCTATTCCAGCCTCTGATGGCTATCTGTAGGCTGGTGTAGAGACAGAAAAAAAAAAGGTTAAACCTAGTATTAAGATACCTCGGATCTGAAAATATCAGAGCAGAGGCTGGAATAGAGCAGATGTTTCAGACAAAGTCAGAAATTCAAGCAGGTGTCTGGCACCTTTGACCCACTTAATTTAGACAATTTTCAGGATGACATTGTGATAAAGAAGAATCTCTTAACGGTCAAGAAGTTTCGAATGCACATACAGAGTCTGGTAGGTCTACTTGGTTAGTGTCATACTCATAGGCCTGTCCTGTGTCCACTCTCACTGAGTTAATAAAGACAAGCTGCAGAACAGTGAAGTGCCTGTAGTTCTTGTTGTCAACAATCAAAAGTACATTGGAAAAACAGTTACGTACCTTTACATGTTGATATTTACAAAACTCTACAAACAATTGGAGAAAATGGTCTCTATAGGAATATATAAACATCAATTTCTTTTTGACCAAATTATGTAAACAAAATGAAGTCATGAGGGGAAATAACTCTCATCTTTTTATCATTCAGATTCAGACAACAACTATTTACTAGTCATTCGGGACAACCTTTTCTTTTGTTAGATTTCTAATAGCTCGGTTTATTTTAATTCAATCGGGTGAGAGCAACGTCTTGGAATATTCCTTCATTTAATTTACATATAGACTATCAGTAAATAAACCAAATGATTTAGATTAGATTAGATGTCGGCAAACTCAGACCACGGTTAATTATTCACAGAGTTCCTTCCCTTCGACCTCAGTAAAGAAACTAATCTAGAAACTTTTTTTATTTTCATTAATTATCTGAATTAAATCTGGAAACAAATGGAACTTAGAGAAGTTGAATTATATTCTGGTGAGAATTCAATGTTCAGCATATGTATGAAAAAGATTTTAGAATCCAAGTAGTTTTTCTAGATTTAAAATCATTTTGAAAGTTTGAAATTATGATGGCCAAGAAGGACACAGCCTCACATTGCCTTAGCTTTATGCTTAGCCTACTACAGGCCTTAAACTTATTGAGCCTATCAAGCCTTTGGCCTTTGTAGGAATAAGATATATAGACAGGTGGCTGGTCACTTAGTCTATTTCTAAAGGCACAACTAAATCAAAGCTTGTATTCTAACATCTAACTGTAGCCTAGTGTAGGTAGACCTAGAGCATTGAGGGCTCACTGTAACTGTAAGATTATAAGTATAAACTACTCTTTCCAATTTGCATAGACCTACAATGCAGAATTAAAGACCTTTATTTTCAACATTTTTTCCTCTTGACCTTCAGATCTAGATTGGATTTAGAAAAAAAATTGACAGTGCCCAGTGACCCTATCCAATTCCAATCCAAAGTTCTGCAGCTACAACCACAAAAACAGAAAGAAAAGGCTTGTCCTATTGGCCTTATTTATATGATTCAATCCAGATTTTCTCAAGCCCTAGCCTGATTTACTTAATTTTTTCATTTTTCTTTTCATGCTTTGGTATGGATTAGAAGCTCTAGCTTGGTAATTAAAATGGCAATTTTTTATTTTCTAAACATTCAACATAAAATTAATTTAGCTCCAAACCTTCAGATATGAGAACCTCTTCATTTTCAAAAACTTCAGTTAGATCTAAGCCTACTTGTTAGACATATAGACTTGAGAATTCTCAATAGGCCTATAGCATAATATGACATTGAAAAAACTTGAATCAAGGTCATTGCAAGGAAAAGAGGCAAGGCATGCAGCAGCTGATCCTCTTGGAATACTTGATTTTTGAATTTTGATTATCTTTATTTTATTTTTTTTCAGTTTAAAACAGACTTTAAATGAAGGAAAAAAGAATTCTAATGTAGATATACAGTTAATGTTGAGTAATGTACAGAGATGTCAGAGTATAGTTCGACAGTTTATCAGTGAAAAACAACCTCAATCAACAATGGTGAGAATTTTTAATTTCTTGAAATGAAATTAATGAATTGGTACTGGGGCTCAAATTTTAGACTCAGAAAATTTGAAGAATTTAAGGGCCCAGAGAACTCATTTATGACAATATTGAAGTGCTAAAAACGTATCAAACTCTATATCTTTGTGATTTTGTACAAAGACACTGTAAATGAATCAATTTCTGTTGAACTGAAGAAGATTTTGCTGGGGCTTAATTCTCACCCATTGTTTGAAGATTGTATATTTTGAAATTCTGTGAAAAAAAAAAAGTTTTATCTAAGATTACACTCTGCAATCAATGCAATGAGTTCTATTTTAAAATTGGAAAATTCCTTATTCTAAACAAGTTATATTTGAAAGAATGATGGCAATTCGAATGGTATATTTTAGTTACTGCTAAAAATAAATCTAGAATCTAGAAGTATGTAGAATCTTGTCATGTACAATGTTGTATTTCTATAATGTATTACAGCTGTCATTAATAAATCTAGAATCTAGTCTGGGATGTCATGTAGATATTTTAATGAGAAAGATACAGCAGTTGAATTCTAGTCGTATTATCTGTGGTATAAAATCTGAATTAATGAACAATACACCAACAACTACAGATGGTATGTCTAATTTGTGCATTGGAATACTTTTTTTTTTGTAAAAACCACAATTTTCTTCTGCACCTAATTGGCTGATGAAGATGGGCAACACAATGCAGTGTGTAATGAAGGATCTTTTTGCACACTGGGCCCTAGTTTTTTGCCCCATCCGAACAATTAGAGACCTTTTTCATGTCAGTCTCTCTGACTTGTATCATTGACAGTGAGAAAGCCTGTAAAATTCTGTAAACATGCTATTACCACTGTTACCATTACCAATAAATTGCTGTTCGTTGCTGAATTTTTTTGTTGCTCAGATTGTAAAATAGATAAAGTTGAAGATACCCAGAAACAGAATAGAAGATCTGCTATAAATGATACTATAGTACAAGCTGGAACTCTAACTTTCTCAGATGTTGCTGGTTTACAGGATGCTAAAACTGCTCTAAGAGAAGCCATTATTATGCCTTTTATATATCCTCATCTATTTACAGGTATGATTCACTAAGTCTTGACAGACTTGGCATTATTTTAAGTATTCCTATCATAGCTTATATAAGCCAATAAGATTACTGCATGTATCTTGCCTAGATGAACACATCCATGGATTAGCCTACTGTTATTATTTGTAGATATCTCACCTATATTCTTATATTATTATGAAGGAAAATTCCATAATCTTTGTGCAGTTGTGCATAGAACTGACTAATGATTCAGTGTTCTGTAAGAAATATTCCAATTGCATTTTCAATTTTGTAGGAGGAAGAAAACCATGGAAGCGAATTTTATTGTACGGACCTCCAGGAACTGGAAAATCAAGACTAGCACAAGCCATAGCCTCAGAGATCCAGTCTACCTTTTATTGTGTTTCTAGTGCTGACTTGGTTTCCAGTTGGGTTGGAGAGAGTGAAAAGTAGGTGATGCTTTGATATTTGGGTACTACGCAATAAGCATTATGTTAGTGAAAAATGCTTGGATGCCAATGATCAGTAGATAAGATTAGGTCTCTAATATGAATTTAAAAAGATCTATCCATTTAAGGTACCTGAAGAGGTGCCATTTTACAATTTTCTTATTTTTCGTTAAAAAGTTTCAGCATCACATCATTTGTACCATAGTACTGGCATTAATTACTGAATGCATGTTATAATTCAAATCACCCCTACTATTTTTGGTCCTGTATCTTTCCTTCCTCCTTTAGATTGATTAAAGAACTGTTTTCACATGCTACTAATAACACAGGAAGATCTGTAAGTTCTTTTTTACCATACTGGTTCCATTCCATCAAAATTCTAGCACATTGATTATGCAAAAACATCTTGTGTTCATAGTACAGTACATTTTGACAATTTATCTAAAATTTACTTGATAATCATTAATTAATTATTCACATAAATGCCAATTCCCCAAAAAAATTTGATCAGATCATAGTTGACTAGTCATCCAAAGAAAAAACAGGAAACAAAATATCTAGATCGTTTTTTTTTATAGGTAATATTTATTGATGAAATAGACAGTATAACTCGACAGCGTAGTGCTAGAGAAGAAGAACATACACGAAGAATAAAAACAGAATTATTAAAACAAATGGAAGGAGCGGATACTTCAGATTCATCTAATAAAATATTTTTATTATGTGCTACAAACTGTCCATGGGAATTAGATGTTGCCTTTTTACGTAGATTTCAAAAGAGAATTTATATTCCACTTCCCGAAAGGTAAATTGTTAAAAAGAAGGAAAGGATGACAACTCATGTTCACTTGGGATCAATTATTACAACTAGTCCTTGGCTAATCTGACAAATTTGGCCCTTCCTGTTTCTCAGATGTGATACACTGATAATCGAAATATTTTAATTGAGAAACCCTGTAAATTTAATAACTTAATGAAGAACATGCCAAATTCTTAACTTCATGGGTTATTGTTGCATTATAGAAGTATATTCTTGCTTTGATCGGTTATTATTGTTTATTTTGGGTATGTTATGTGCTGAAGGAAACCTATGTGGTACTTGTTAGCGGGGACACTGGAGAAAGTGGAACTTTGACATATAATCAATTATGAAATTTGATATTAATTATTTATTATTTATCAATTATTTTACTCAGCCTTAGATCAGAATGCCGCTGTCATTTTGGTTTTATGAGGACCACTTTCAAAACTGAGTGCCAGCTCATCAAGGGAGGGAATTTTATAAGTAACTGCCCTGTTTTTGTTTTCACTCTCTCTGAGGGAAAGTCATGACATGTCATATTCCAGATGACTTATTTTGATCTGTCATTCAACATGGTGCTACAAAAAATCAGAGTTTTGTCTTAATCTTTCAGAGAGGCAAGACATCAGTTATTGAAGTTACACAGTCAAGATAATTCAGTGAATTTAACAGATGAAGAATGGAATAATCTAGTAGACTGTACAGATGGTTATTCTGGAAGTGATATAGCAACCATGACTCTAGGTGCTTTATTTGAACCAATTAGAGATCTACAGAGTGCACAATATTGGAACATGTTACCAGGTAAGAAGTTTCATAAGGGACACATATAGCATATTTAAAGAATATGATCCGATTTTTGATTTTGAAAAGAGTTACAGACAACAAAATTCAATTGTTATTAGGAGTAGTAAATAATTGGATGAATTGATTCCTTTAAATCTTTTTCTTCAATGATCATTAAACATTTTGGATTTTGTTTCGATAGCTACGTCAATTTCTTTTGTTTTTTATACAGACGGTAAATATCAGCCAGCAGATATTTTATATTCTAATAGTGTAGAGGCTTTTTTAACTGATTTACCAGCTGATAAAGTAAGTCACCTTTTTTTATGTGTTGCAAGAAAGAGTAATCTTACTAAGTGTTTCTAGAAAGATTGATCTGTGCGTCAAGACATATTAATCTTTTCATGTCTTGCAAGGAAGAGTTGTTTTACAATGTTTTACGAAGAATAACCTTTTCATGTGCTTCAAGAACAAATTATTTGACCACATGTTCTTCAAGAAAGATTAATTTTCTCATGTTCTTCAAGAAAGATTAATCTTTGAATGTGCTTCAAGAAACATTCATCTTTTCATGTGCTTCAAGACAGATTTATCTTCTCATGTGCCTCAAGAAAGATTAATCTTTCATGTGCTTCAAGGAAGATTAATCTTTTCCATCTGTGATATATATTTCACATGGCTTTTCCTAAATTTCAGATTCAACCCAGAGATGTAAAAAAGGGAGATTTCATAAAATCATTACACACCCACAGAAAAACTGTATCAGAAGAAGAATTGAAAAAGTTTGAAATTTTTACTAAAAGTTATGGTGAAAGTGGATAATACATGATAATCTGCATCGACAATTTCAGCGAGTGCCAATGAAAATCTAAAAAAATGGTTCATCAACGATTAAAGTAAACCAAAATTAAGAAATCACCATATTTAATTTCCATGTCAAATATACATATTACAATTTTATCAGTGAAAGAAAGCACAAAAAACAAAGTATCAAATTCGAGCATTCATGTTAATTAGAAAAAAATAACAGAGGTAGATGTCCTGTCGTTTTTTTGTAGATATTTTAATCTCTGTAGAGGATTTAATTTAGTTTTATTGTTATTTTGTAAAACATACAAAATCTCAGGTAGAGAACTTATAATTTTCATTCACTATTATTATTTGTTTAGTTTCTGAATTTAAAATGTTATAAGTCTCAGGGACAAGAAATCATATTTTGTAAATATGTTTAAAATGTTATAGAATTTCTCAAGTAGAGAAATAAATGTTGATTTGATGTTTTCAATATTTAAAAATGTTTTTATTTTTTTTATAGTTGATTGTTAATGGTTTTTATATTAGTTAAAATGTTATAATATAATATTCTCCAGTAGAGAAATAAAATATTGATTTGATATTTTAAAATATATTTATTTTGGTTATTGTTATAAGTTATAAAATGTTACAGATATTCTCAGGTAGAGAAATATAAAATGTTTATCAAAATAACTTTTATTTTATTTATAGTTAAATGGTTTTTATATTAGTTAAAATGTTATAATATAATATTCTCCAGTAGAGAAATAAAATATTGATTTGATATTTTAAAATATATTTATTTTGGTTATTGTTATAAGTTATAAAATGTTACAGATATTCTCAGGTAGAGAAATATAAAATGTTTATCAAAATAACTTTTATTTTATTTATAGTTAAATGGTTTTTATATTAGTTAAAATGTTATAATATAATATTCTCCAGTAGAGAAATAAAATAAAATATTGATTTGATATTTTAAAATATATTTATTTTGGTTATTGTTATAAGTTATAAAATGTTACAGATATTCTCAGGTAGAGAAATATAAAATGTTTATCAAAATAACCTTTATTTTGATTGTAGTTAATTGTTAATAGTGTTTTAAGATTCTCAAGAAGAGAAATAAAATGTTGATTTTATAATTTATAATATTTTTAATATTTTGATTAGAGTTAATTGCTAATGTTATCTGTAATGAAATTATATAAGCTTACATATATAAGATTCTCAGATAGAGAAATGAAATGTTGATTTTTTTTTATATTGTAAATTTTATGTTAGTTATTGTTCATTGTTAGTTTATATTTATAAAATGTTATAGATATTCTCAGGTAGGGAAATAAAATGTTGATTTAAAGTTTTAAGATAATTCTAGTTTAGTTATAGTTTATTGTTAGTTTATATTTATAAAATGTTATAGATATTCTCAGGTAGGGAAATAAAATGTTGATTTTTTTAAATATTTTATATAATTTTATTTTAGTTATAGTTTATTGTTAGTTTATATTTATAGTTTATTGTTAGTTTATATTTATAGTTTATTGTTAGTTTATATTTATAAAATGTTATAGATATTCTCAGTTAGAGAAATAAAATGTTGATTTTATATTGTAAATAATTTTCAATTTGATTATTGTTAATTGTTAATGGTATTTACATATTTTATTTTAGTTAAAGTTAAATGTTATCATTTATTATTATTGAATTTCTGTTATTAAAGGTTTAATATTCGAATAACATATAGAAGCGAGGAGCACATATAACAAAAACACAAGACAATATTATGGAATATAAGACACTTCTTTAATAAGGTTGGGCACATAACGTTACATTTCATCTGATGACGACACATGTATATTTTGTTGAAACGTTATGTGCCTACCTTATTAAAGAAGTGTGTTATATTCCATAATATCGTCTTGTGTTTTTGTTATATTAAAGGTTTGTTTTAACTTGAACATGTATATTTCAATTTGCTTTTCCAGCCAAGAGAGTAGTGATTGTGAAAATTTCTCTATTAATATACATCAATTTCAGCTCAGGAAATCTGTTAGATTTGTGTTTTGTTTCATATGTTAATTTTTCAGCAGAATTTTTTATTTCAAATATTAATCAATTTCCAAAATCGGAAAAATTATTTTGAAGTTAAATCATGTTTTACCTTTTGTTAAGTTAACAATATCTTAAGAAAGCAAATAAATTACTAACCCTTTTTCTTGTCATTTTGTATTCTATGATGCTTGTTGCTCACATGAAGTACATAACTCAAAAGGAATTGTTTGTGAATAATGTAACTTCAAAGTAACTCCTTAAGTGCATTGTGCTTGAAAAAGGACCAATAGCTCACCTTAGCAGCCATAAGGACTTGAAACAGTTGTGTCTTCCAATTCCCCCTCTTTCAAAAAATGTTCAATACCCTAGATTAAATAAACAATATTTTATGACCATTTTATTGATAAATGTTATATCAAAATATTTATACATAAATACAACATCTTGATATTACTAGTGACTCAATTCTTTATCAAATATAGATATTGTTTGCATAACTCAGAATAAGTCTTTTTGGGTGAATATTTTGCATACATACACTTCAAATACAATGTAATATTTATATGACCCTTAAGCAGTCGCTGTTGTTCCATGGGTTAATAAAGAACATATTTTTTTATGTAACTGAAAAAGCAGGAGTGAAGAAATTAAAATGTGCCAGATGAAAGTGGTATTGCTCAAAAATTGCAAAACATTTTTAATATATGAAACTAAAATTTGTAGAAATAAAATAAAATAAAATAAAATGAGACACCAGCACCCATGTTGCCAAATTCTGTAAATTCAATTTGTTGGCAATCAATGACTGACTTTCAACTGCCAACAGAGACACTGATTGCTGCACTTTCAGATTTCAGGAACCAATAATAGTTCTGACAAAGCTTGTAGTGGCCACTAATGACACTGATATTTGAAACTGTTGATAGAGCCTGTAGTAGCCAATTATGAAAATCTGAGGCACTTTTATGAAACAATGCAACAGGCTTAAGATATTTTAACATTGGTACTTGTATTTATCCTATAATGTGAGTACTTAATCTAACACTAAACATTTGTACATGTACTTAATCTAAAACTGATCATTTGTACATGTACATAACCTATAACTTGTATATGAACTTAATCTATAACTAACCATTTAAACATGTACTTAACGTATAACTGATCATTTGTACATGAACTTAACTTATAACTGATCATTTGTACATGAACTTAATCTAAAACTGATCATTTGTACATTAACTTAATCTATGACTAACCATTTGAACATGTACTTAACATATAACTGATCATTTGTACATGAACTTAACTTATAACTGATCATTTGTACATGTACTTAATCTAAAACTGATCATTTGTACATGTACATAACCTATAACTGATCACTTGTACATGAACATAACCAATAACTGATCATTTGTACATGAACTTAACATAAAACTGATCATTTGTTCATATACTTATTTTAAACTGATCATTTGTTCATGTACTTATATTAAACTGATCATTTGTACATGTACTTAACCTAAAATCATGAATATACCTAAAAAAAAAATTGCACTGACAAACATTACTATGAACAATCATACAAAAAATATATAAATATAAACAAAAAAATATATCTACAAATAATTATATATCAAATATATAGTTTTCATTCAACAAAATCACTAAATATAAAAACAATATTAAAGTGTATCCACGAATATCATTATGTATATATATATATACTGTATGTTATTTACAAGATAGTTTGGATTGAGTCACATAAACAATCGGATTAAAATACAGCCTTTTTTTATTTCTCTATGTGCTCCCCATTAAACATCTTCACATTGTCATAGTCAAGCTATTACGAACTTCGAATTCATACCTTGACTGCAATAGCCACTATTCTTGTAACTCAGCGATCTTATTGGATCTCAACAGATAGGCTGTAAACATTATGGTTTTATGTTCACTGATTTTCTGTTGAGGACTATGAGTGGTTGTATTAGCCAGCATACAATCCAATCAAATCGCTTCATTAACAAACTGTATGATATATGAATAGTGGCTATTGTACGAAGTTCATAATAGCTTAAAATTGTGAAGATGCCTCTTTAAGTGATTATCCTATTGAATGATCTGTTCTGTTTTATCTATATATTGTCACACTAGCAATTAAATTATTAAAAAAAAATATTTTCCTTACTACAAATGTCAACTACATTATGTATATTTACATTTAATTGTGAAATTATATATGAAATAGAGTATTGTAATAAGCTTGAAATAGGAACCTGAACCAAACAAAATTTTAGGATTTTTTTTCATATCCTCAAGTAGACAACCTCTATTAAAGAGTGGTTGGTAAGATGGAATAAAGTCAACAAAATACAATACAAATGAGGTACTTTTCCAGAATGTGACCAGGTCCCCAATAGTTGAACCTTCACCTTTGATATTTGACCTTGACCATAACCTGTCATGTTATAAATGCACGATAACAACAATAAATACAACATCACAACCCAACACGAGATCTTTTTATGACTTGGTTTACTTCTTCTCTCTTATTGGTTCCATCAATATTGAAATTGACCAATCAGGACCTCTCACAAGTCTTACAACATCGACTTCTGTAATACTGTTGACCACAAGCTCTATGGTGTAAGACAAGGTGACACCATACTTCCTTATCAGTACATGATGGTTCTAAAAAAAAAAGTATGTAAAAGAATTTCATACACAAGTCACAATTCAGCAAAATCAACAGATATCACACTTATATGTCTTTTGAAACTTTGCTCTGATGGCCATTTGTATTAACTTATTAAACTTTCATTCAAAAAAGATCTCCTGGAATTAAAAATTTCCAAATTTGGATTCCATAATAAGAGTGAAACTGCTTGCAATGAAAATTTCCAAATTTGGATTCCATAATAAGAGTGAAACTGCTTGTAATGAAAATTTCCAAATTTGGATTCCATTATAAGAGTGAAACTGCTCGTAATGAAAATTTCCAAATTTGGATTCCATAATAAGAGTGAAACTGCTTGTAATGAAAAGTTGTGATTTCCATTAAGATAGCGCTACAAAGAATCATATGAAACTATGTATGGTTCTGACATGGAAATAACACACAGGAACGTAGTTCACAAACGATTTTGAATCTCTTCTGCGATTTAACAAGTCAAATTTTTAAATGGTTGTGTGTTATTTCTATGTAAGAAACAATTAAATTATGTAGTTTCATATGTACAAAGAATAATGAGTTTAGGGTTAATTGTTTCAGGTATTAAATGATTTCTTACGATCCTGTATAGGACATGGTCCACTGTCACACTGTTTTGAGGTAGTTGGTTTGAGGCGTTGTACACAGAGATTAGATCTGGAATGAGCTATATTATCAACACATTTAATATTTCTTCTTTGTATACCTCTTCCACAACTGGCTGAACACTGAAAACAAAATGGTGGACAAATTTCAGATAAGTGTTATTGTCAACAAATAGATAACAGGAATGTCAAATATAATAGCATACATCTTCACAATGGTTAAGGTATTATTACATCTTCATCTTATATCATCTGCAAGGACCCTAAAGTGTTTCACAGTCAGCGATTTGATTGGATTGTGCACCAGCGAAAACAGCCAATCAGAGCACTCGATTTCAAGAGTAAATATTTTCATCAGTCCTTCCCTCAACGGCTGAGATTGGCTATATTCAACAGCGTACAATCCAATCAAATTGCTGCATTCTGTGAAACAAGACAGTGGGCCAATACAATATAAGATGAAGACTAATACCTTGACCATTGTGAAGATGAACAGCATATCATAAAATATATTAGCTTACAGCTAACACAAATCTTCTGGTTGCTGCTAATAAGCAAAGCCTGTACCTGATGAACATACAGACAAGAAGGGAAAAAAATTTCAATTCTCCAGCAAAATATGAGAAAGCGCCAATGCCAACCAAGATTATTCCACCCAAGGTAAAATGTTGCAATAGTAACATTGTGCTTTTGACTTTTAATTCCCCATTCAGCATTTGTACTAAATGAACTTAGTAATTCCATAAGACAATATCTAGAATATTTGGAATAGGGTTCAAATTGAGAAAGCTATTTTCTCACTGTTTGTAATAATACTTATCCATTATTCCATGATCCAATGAAATGAACAGTTTTAAGACATAGCTAAGCATGAGAGTTATCGCAAAAAGCAAGCTAATCTGGTTAGTGGATTGAAAGCTATATATTAAAGGGATTGAAAATGTAAGGGGTCTTCTCTCTTGCAGAGTTGCAATGTTACAAAAGTAAAGATGCCATCAAAATATCTAGAACAGTCTCTCAGATGCAAATACATATTCGATATTTTGTCTCCTGTTTTTGAATTTTGACTTTGGTCCTTAATCCACAGAAAAAAATTAGAAAACCTCTTAACAACCCCTTTAATGGTCAAACTATCAATTTTTGCAAACAGTTCTGGAGCATGATTTTTGCAATTACAGTAAAACAAACAAAAATGATAAATTGAAAGCATAAATTTTTAACGATTCCAAATCAAATGACTAGTAACAAATCAAAATTCAATCGAAAAAATAAAAATCAAAATCATGCAGACCTGAGTCCAATCAGAAACATGCCAGGTATGTCTCTGCATAGCTAATAAGGCTTGGGGACAGGTTACAAGCCAACAGGCCTCTTCTAATCTGAAGTTAGGTTTCGGAATTCTTCCACAATGTCTATCTTGAACATATTTACGCTTTCCATTTGAGTTGACAGCATTGCACTTGATAAAGCGTGTTCTACGACCTTGACCACAGGTTTTTGAGCACTAAAGGAAGCAAATAAAAGCACACATATCTAAGGTTGGATTTTAAACTTAAGATAATACCAAGCATGATTCTATATTTTTACTTTGTTCTCAGCAATTTTTAAAAGTCTACATTTAATTGTATTCTTTATTTTTATTTTTTACTCAATTTCTCTATATATGTCTTTTCTATATATGGCAGTGTCTCAAGAAAAGATGACTCGTCTTTTTAACTTTCAAATGCAGATAATTCTGGACACACATAAGGCTCAAATTGCAACAGTGAGCTGTGAACATTATTACTGATTGGCTTAACTGGAAAATTCCTGTTTCTGAGATTAAGGTATGATTGATAAAAAAAATGGCACACTTGTTCCTTTAAAGTATTTCTTGGCCTATTAAAAACAAGGAATTTTCAAGTGGCAGTTAAAAGTGTCAATCAACATGGTAGACTTTATTCAAAAATATTCAAATCTCAGTCATAAATGAAGAGTTTGAAATAAAGATTGTTAAGCAAATGAGGTTCATAAAACAGTAATAATTTGCCCTACTATCATTTCCATGAATTTAAAAATCTGTTCTAAAATCAGAAAAAGTCTCAGACTCTTCTGGTAAGGTGTTAACTTAAGTGTAAAAAATATAGAATTAGGCTTGGCAGTAAGTTAAAAGGGATAAGGAAATCTAATCGTCAGATACATCTAATTTTATAAAATCTTTAACTTGAGTTAAAAACACACAAAATATTTTAAAACAACTACATGTAAGTTAACAGAAAAAACAAAAGGTGGGTTCTAAAGTTGAATCAAAATTAAAATTTGGATTGTCATTTTATTTAGCCACATACTGAACATATTTCATAAAAAAAAGTTAAAAAAACATACAAAATTCAAACCAAACTGATAATTTCATTATAAATCAAAGAATATAGTCTTGTAGATAATTGCTAAACATTCCAGATGATATACATATTTAACAGAACCTGAAACATGTGGTATGGTATACCATCTTCAGACAACTGACTTATTTCAGCTTGCCTCTCTACTGAAGTAGAACTTAATTCTGTCTTTAAGACTATTCGCTCTAGAATTGATGTATTGAGCACTAGTTTAACAGTGAATATATTTCATTATAGTATTAAATAACAAATTGTATTTCTGTGCAGCTCTGAAATTTAATTGTATTTGCTGTTAAAGTGAATATCTAGCAGACTATATCCTTCTTTAATATTTCATGCAATGGCCACCAATGAAATAAAATATTTGATACAAATGATAATTTAAAGGAATATTGTTGGCCTTATATTTGTTTTACATACTGATAAAGCTGATTTTAGCTGTATCACTTTCCAAAATCAAAATTCAACATGAGTCCCTTACAAAATAACAATTAAAATAGATGATTATGAGTTTTAAAAGTTCTCACAAGTAGTTATGTTATATCCAATGGCATCATAAAACCCATCATCATTCCACATGAGAATGTGATAAATACAATCTGCAAGTGACTAACGCCTTAACTGTAGGGCAACCACATGTACAGTATCTAATTTTGAAAAGGGATACAGAAAAGACATCTATTCTATTCTATCAGCTGGTAAATCATATATTCAGACAACGTTTTCTCTTTAAAACAACATTGAACCAAGAAATTAAATTCAACACATATACAAGGACAGGTTATATCTTGTGTTTGTGTTCCATGTTTCAGTCAATCTCAACATCATATGATATTTTCAGAGTTAAAATACAATTAATTATCCTGTGTGCAAAATCTTAACAACAACACTTTTGTAAAGTGCATTAACTTATCCTAGTTAAAGTTTACCCTTTTTCATAGAAATTGGGATCAATTTAATTGCCTATTGCAGGGTTGTTTTCACCAATTCATAGACCTTGTACAAACTACATGTATAAAAATGTCTTTCTTGTCACAGAAGTTTTGTGAGCAAAGTGGAATCAGTGTCCGCAATTCATCAGATTTAAATTTCCTTATGTACACTCTGTAAAAATGATTTACAAGTTTGATCTCACCTAGGTTTACAATGTTAGACCTCACCTAGGTCAATAAAGTTTTTAATTCACCTACGTTTACAATGTTAGACCTCACCTAGGTTAATAAGGTTTTTAATTTACCTAGGTTTACAATGTTAGACCTCACCTAGGTTGATAAGGTTTTAATTCACCTAGGTTTAGAATGTTAGACCTCACAAAGGTGCACAAGGTTTAATTAAACCTAGATGTACAAAGTTTAATTCACCTAGGTTTACAAGCTTATACCTCACCTACATTTACAAAGTAAATCGCCCTTGTTCCCATGACAACATCAAATTAATAAACCAGTGCTATTGTTAGATTTCTGTGCAGGTCGTATAGGATATAAATAAATTTAGATCGGTGTAAACAGTGACGCAAGATATAACCTCAACCATTTTATTAGTAAAAAACATTGAAAACATGCAACAATACCAAAATCAAAAACTTACTGGTCCCCATGGTGATATGATCCATTCGTATCTTCTGACACACTGTCGTTTTTTACAGGGTCTTGTTTTAGGAGGTTTCTCATTCACTTTACACATATTCTCTGGTAATATTCTAAAACCTCTATGTTGTTTATTTCTACATAAAACTTTTCTTTGTTGTTTACCAATACCACAGTTTACTGAGCACTGGAAAAAAAATAATTTATTGAATGTCGAATCTTCATAAAGAAAACACAAATACAACACAATTATTGTATTCTCCAAAAATGTATCATTGTTATATTTGATTAAACCTTGATAAAATTGGATGATATGGCCTACCGGGATATAAGATGGTGAGGAAAAATCCCCATAAAACAGGGTCCAGTTTTTTCTGGCCCTGCTCAAGACGACAACTCACAAAATAACTATCAGAGGCTGGAAACCAGGCAGATGTTTCCGTCCAATTATAATACCATCAAGTCACAAGTTCAATTGTCATTCAATGTGCACTTTTTACAAAAATTATTTTATCCATTCCATTTATCACTGGGAGTTATTACTAAAGTAATTTGTTTGCTTGTTAATTCTTTAGAAGCTCAAATCTTTCTCAATGAAATTAATGGATACCGTACTTGAAATAAACTGTCACATATACAAACCTTAGACCATTTCCCAACATGCCATGTTGATGGACATTGATGATTATTACAAACTCTTTTCTTGGACGGTTTTGGTAAATGTCGGCAATATTTTCGGCGTAATTTTCTATCTTTATTTAAACTTATTTTCTGTCGACAAGTTATTTTTCGTACTTGCTTGCCTCCTCCACATGACCTTGTACACGTCTGCCATTCTGATGGTATCCATCTAAAATGTAAACAATTTGCATCATTCATTGAGCCAATCATGAGTTGAACATGTTCACACACTAAAACCAGTTAGGTTTACAAACTTCATATCAAATTCACCTAGGTATACGTCGCCCAGAAATACAAAATCAAACTAATATAAGTTACATGGTTTAACTCAACTAGGTTAGCAAGGTTTAACAGTTTCACTCACCTAGGTTTACAAGATTCAACTCACCTAGGTTTACAAGGTCTAACTCACCTAGGTTTAGATTTAAAAAATTCACCTCGGATTATAAGGTTTAACTCACCTAGGTTTACAAGACTGAATTCACTAAGGTTCATATTTACAAGATTCAACTCACCTAGGTTTGCATGATTCAACTCACCTAGGTTTGCATGATTCAACTCACCTAGGTTTACAAGGTTTAACTAACCTAGGTATGCATGATTCAACTCACCTAGGTTTGCATGATTCAACTCACCTAGGTTTGCATGATTCAACTCACCTACGTTTACAAGGTTTAACTCACCTAGGTTTGCATGATTCAACTCACCTAGGTTTACAAGATTCACCTAGGTTTACAAGATTCAACTGACCTAGGTTTACAAGATTCAACTCACCTAGGTTTACAAGATTCAACTCACCTAGGTTTACAAGATTCAACTCACCTGGGTTTACAAGGTTTAACTCACCTAGGTTTACAAGGTTTAACATTACATGGTTGAACTCCATCATCAGGTTTTTTCTCATTTCTACAATATGAAGGATCAACTTTTTCTCTAGTGTTTCTATAACATACTGCTGTCACTGTCTTTTTACCTGAAAATACATCATAAATGATATTTCGATTCAGAAAGATTTTAAATGTCATCATAAAATTCCTATGACTTGACTAGTAAAAAACTAGTATCAAACCAAATTTTTGCACAAATAACGATAACAATATGCAAGCTATATTCAGGTCAAAATTTGCAGATTGGCAAGCAGGTTCAATTAATCATTATATTGAAGCCATAAAGTTTTTTCTACCCCCACCCCAAACTGTCAACTATACATTATCATCATTGTTCTGCAAATTATAGAAGCAACTCAAGATCTTCCAGTTCCCACCCAGCTTGTACTATGAAATATTCCACACTAAATTTTTGTTGGGAAACCTTCTGTACCCTATATTATGTGCTAATAAATACTATTTTTAGTAACATACCACCAGCACAAGGCTCACTACATGTAGTAGAAGATACACTCCATTTATAAACTGGTGGTGGTGATGTTTGACGTGATCTAACTGTTTTCTGTGGTACTGTATACTGATAGGTCACACCTGGGTTATGATCTTGTACCAACATCTGTAAGAAACGGTACTAAAATTTTCATTTCCAATAAAAAAAAATGCCTATTAATGCAATCTTTTCTTATACATACTATCTTGATTTTGACAACATACATAGTATCTCAAAATACAAAAGTTTTAGGATTTCATTTCATTTTCTTCATGAAATTTCATAACTTCTAAAAAAAATGTTTAATTGAATTTCCCTACAAAGAAATATCTGCTCTACTTTGTGTCATTTTAGCCTTAAAGATGGATTCGAGCTAGCTGAATTTGTGTTCCTGATTCTTAATTCATGAGATCTTGAGTTTGAAAATTGTCTGTGGATGTATAAAAAGTTTCAATAACAGAATAAATATATTGATTTCTTAAATGAAAATATGGCGACCGTTCAATATATGGATTCATTCGTTCACAAGAAAATGACGCAATTTTCAACTGACCTCAACAATAAGATCTTCACCAAGTGGACCATCAGATTTTAATGTTTCTGGTTTACTGTATGGACGTTCATATTCAAACACAGCGCCCCCTAGTTTGTATCTACCAGGCCAGGCAACACGTCTGTCACCATTTAAATAATACGCACCATAAATATTTCTTATAGATAAATAATTTGATGAGATTTTCATTTCACTGACTAAAATATGCCGAGCTCCTTTTGGTATAACAACAATTGGAAAATATCCTGAAAAATAAGGAATAAGAACACTGTTCAGTGGGTTTGCTCATATATTTGAAGTCCAATATTGTACTGACAGCTATACTGATGAAGATTGTGTATCCAAAACACAAGTCAGCTTTCGAGCTTTGTTTGCACATATAAGGAGCACAAGGAATACAACAAAAACTAAGAAGCAGAAAGCAATAAAAATCTATTTCATTTGAAGTATGAAAGGTACAAATGTAAAAACGTACGATTTAATGTAGGTTGTTGTGTATATTTGCCAGTAACTAATTTACATGTAGAGTTATCTCCCTTACAAACACCACACATATCATGAGTTGCTGTTGATCCTATTTCATTATCACAACCAACCATCTAAAAATATTAATAAGAACATGTTTTCTTAAAGTGTATAATAAGAATGGAGATTTATTTTTCCATATTTAAAGCAATTCTTATATATATATGCACGTGGGAAAATAAAAGTGAATAGACAGGCAAAGAATGAAATGAAAAGTGGCAGACATTACCTTACAAGCACCACTAATACAGATTTTATTATCAACAGAACCACAAGGTGTACCATCAACTGCCGGATGTTTTATAGTAAATACATAGTTAAATGTTTCAGCCATACAATATAATTTACAGGGATCACCATCTAAAAGACAAAATAAAATAATGCAATGTTTTACGTACTAAATTTCTAGTTTGGGCTTTCGAATATATACAATGACGGAAATTTTGCCCATACTATTCTCCTACTCTTGCAAACAAAGTCTCTTTAATGTGAAAAGCCTATAGCACACGAGACCTCAGTTTATTGTCCAATCCAAAAGGACAAGATGTTTTTTCCAGGTCAGCACCTCCTATGGGACTGAGCCTCCAGGTTAGAGATCCACCCTGGCTCCAAAATGCAAATCTCAAAAAAACAGAAGGCCTCCTTAGGGGAAAAATATCACATGTCCAAAATAACAAATTAGTAATCTATGAGCTTTAACATTGTAGGACTGTTTAATACAATTACTAGACACATGACAGCTTGGGCTGTGTTTGTTTACACTAATACTTTTCTATTTCTTATATTCTTGTAGTCATACAAAATAAATGAAATTTCACATCATGAAAGTGTTCTGATATGTTGGCGAATGAGGAGTTTGGGAAGAGGACTAAAAAAGACTGCATGTTGATGCCTGAAATTTGAAAATTCTATTTGAGGAAAACTTACTATTGACAACTTTACGATGTGGTTTCCATTGTAACTGCCAACCTCTGAATGGTTTCTTGTTATAAATAGTACATTGTTTAGCATGGAAATCTTCTTTCTTACTACATTTCTAAAGAAGACAAATATATTGAAGAATGATCTAACAAATACTCATATACTCTCTGGTTCATAGGGAAAATAGGTAAAGTCGATCCACAAAGAAATAAACAAAATTCACTGAATGTCACTAAAATTTATCTACAAAAATCTTTCATATGTCAAATTTGAGTAACTTTTGAAATTTCATACATAGTTTAGTATTTGCATGAAGAAATTTATCCAATAGACAACAAGGCAATTTGCTTTGTCCAATATATAAATAAATCACCACCTCTGGCCTATGCTTTAGTCTCCATAAAATTATCATGTCTTTACTTACATGAACATTACAAAGTTTGACTTCTTTATCTTTTCCTTCACATGTTTCTCCACCATATTGAGGTCTGAAACACAAAGTTTTTATCAGCATATAAGTTAACCCTTTCAACCCTAACAGCCAAATTTACCGGCCACATGCTAATGCAATATATACCCGAGCAGACGGTATACTGGCCGTTACTAAGTGACATCATACAATGTTAACGTCATACGCTTTTACTTTTATTAATCGAAGTTCAGGGTATAGACGTTGAGATGTTTTATTTCATTTACAGTCAGGGCTTAAAGAGTTAACGCAAAAAAATAAAAGTAAATGTTCTTACAAAGGACTGTTACATTGTCTTTCTCTCGTCATAACACCTTGATCACATGACCTTGTACATTCAGTCCAATTTTTAAATTTTGACCATCCTCCATTGACTGGTATAGGTCCTTCTTTACCATATTTCACACAGCTACCTTGACGACACCACTATAATTCAAAAGAAGAGTCAATTTATAAAATCAAAAAACTATGATCAAAATAAGATCCAGGGCTGTTTACGATGTGTATTTGTCAACAATTTTCACTTCTGTCAAATAAAGACGATTTTGATTTGAGTCACTTTGGCAATTTTTTTCATGAAAAAAATATGTAAATTCCAGCATGTACGTCTGTAAAAAATGAAACAACAGCCCTGGTATTTTCTGAGTGAAATCATGAAGGTTTTGAATTTTGCCTACCTACCATACCCGACCCGCATGATGTTCCTTCAGCAGCTGGTAAAAACTTAGTTTCACATCTCTTGTTACCACGGAAACACCATAGAGCTTTACAGATATCCTAAAATAGACAATTTCAAAATATATTTTTTCTAAAACATGTAATTGTTTGTTATCCTTTGAAGACCTATACAAGAAATTGATCAATTGCTGCTACACCAGACAACAGCATTTGCCTACTTATTTTTGCTACAAACTGGCCTTAAGCAAAGGAGAATTCAGTTTATTGTTCCGAAGACTATACAATATACTGAATTTTCAGAATATTCGGGGGGAAAATGCTCAAAAAATATTTCACTATGCCTAGTGCGCACTCCTTCTGTGTGGAGCCCTTTTCAGGGTGGAATTTTCAGAATTTTCGGGGGGAAAATGCTCAAAAAATATTTCACTATGCATAGTGCGCACTTCTTCTGTGTGGAGCCCTTTTCAGGGTAAAAAACTGTGCATTATGTACGGAAATATACAGTACTATTTCTCCATGGTAACACCCAGGGGTAATCCCCATAAAAATTCAAAACAGGTCAAACGCAGAAGATAAGCATGGATATCAATCTAAAAATTAAAACAAGTAATATAGTAAAAGAATCTAGCTATGGTACCTTTCCGAAATCATAGGTACATAATCTAGCTCTAGTACCAAACTGCCATTTACACTGAGTATCAGCATTATATAGTTCACCAGGTAATTTCTCAGGAAACTTTAATTCTGCTACATGTTTAGGTTTATCTTGTAAACAATCTGCTTGAGGTGTACTGAAAAATAATGTCAATTTTTTTTAACTAAAGTCAACAATTTATTTTTATTTGAAATGAAATGAACTGGAGTTTATGTCCGTATTGAAAAATAGTATCACCCTTCTAATTTTCTCTGAAAGGACAGATTCAGTAATTTATTTTATAAAGGTGATATATGAATACAAGAGAAACAACCAATTCTTACAAGGATAAGAACTTAAGGTCACATTTTGGCAATGGATCAAAATATCTGTACCCATTTACAGCTGGGCCAACTAGGATAATAAGGAAAGATGACTTATTCAAGGTCAATTGATTTTTGCACTCTTAACTGAGATTAGAATCCACCACCATCATCATGTAACAAAGCAAATGTTTTTTGATTCCAATGCTCTGACCAACTGTGCTACAGCCAGTCCTCAAGACACATAAAGAATCAGAATTTTTCAGAAATAACAGTCCTTACTTTAAGAATCTCAGTAAATAAGCTTTACTACACACAGACCAACTGAATTTGCCGTCCTTGCCCATCAATGTAGGAGACATGATAGATCCTGCTGAATGTTTACAATAATTACTTTCCCCATCATGAAACATACCAAAACTACAAAATAAAATCAGTTTAACAGAATTAAATAGAATTTGAAAATAGACATCTTGAAAATTTTGATCAGCAGTTGAAGACTAAAGGGAGATAATTCAACTATCAATGTTAAGAAAATCCCCAAAATTACAAGTCCAATATTATCAATCATATTTTTGCTCATGATTCAAAAAATAAACACAAGTAGTCCATTTTATTCTAGGTAATTTAAGTATTAATCAACACATTATATCTATATTATGTCTATTACTATTTATTCTACCTGAAACAAATGATGAGGACAGCTTGTGTTTATGGTTTAAATTTGACCCAGATGAACAAAAAACATATTAGCTGGACTGCACATCATTTTGAATGATTCAAAGTGAATTATCATGAAGTATTTGCAAATTCAAGAAATTTGGATTGAAGAATTAAATCTGAAGACTAAAGGGAGATAACTCAATCCTACTACAGATGGAAATATGCCAACATATAAAAATAAAATGAAATGAATGGAGTTTTACGTCCTACTTTTCTGCACCATGTGACCTAATGAAGACGAGCAACGCCATGCAGGATGCAATGAGGGAAATTTTGACAGGACAGCGGCATTAGCCTGCTCTTTTTCAATTTTCCTGTAGCACACAAGGCCTTGGTTTATTGTCCCATCCGAACGCCTAGACGCTTTTTCCACATCAGCCCATCTTACCTGCAACACTGACAGGGGGAAACCTGGTTGAAAGCCAACATATTAAAGTTAGAAGAATTAAAATATGAATTAACTTACTTGTGGCCTATTTCATGCGCTATAGTTAAAGCAGTAGCTAAACCAGTATCTTCATTAATAGTACAACTTCTAATTCTATTACACATTCCTTCTATAGGAGCAAATCCTAAAAAAACAAACATAGGTTCAGAGAATGGCCATTTTTGTAGTGCATGGATTTTCAGAATATGTTATAGAGGAGATTTGGAGAATTTTTTCAAGACAAAATGAATCTATATAACTTACTCTTGGAAATATTAAAACAGAACTTGAATCATGTTATTACTCAGAGTTTCATGCTATACGATCTTCAGACAACTGACCTATTTCAGCTTGCGTCCCTACTGAAGTCGGGCAATTACCTCTAAGTCTTATATCGAAGAAGCGCATCACATTTCTTTGAAAACATAAAGTACTATCTAGAGATGTCTTTCTATTGGAGCATTTTATGTTATAAGAACATGAAGTAAAATTCAAAAAGAACATTTTATAAGAACATAAAGTAGGATCTAAATTCTAAATTAATCTTACCCAGAGTATCACAAGGGGCATTTTTGTAAGAACATAGATCCAGTCCAGTTAATAATATAGCATGATCATGTTGTCGACCATTGGCGCCAATTAATACAGACTGCCAGGAACAAAAACTATTTAATGTTTTATCAGCATGATTAGTTATAGATAGACCAGGCTAAAAATATAAAAAAACAGAATCATTCTTGTAACATTCTTGTCATGTATAAATGACTCAGTTCTTACTTTTGTCTATATACTTTTACTTTTCTATTTAAAGAGATTGTGAATAGGTTCTCTAAACTTTTAACATGCATTAATCTGCATCATTCCTATTTTCAATCCATTGAAACTAAGTGTTTGATGATGTCGCTTATTGTAAACTATGTTTAATCACATAAGGCCCTTGGCGATAAGTGACATCATCAGTTGAATTGCAGAAACCACAGACATTAGATTGAAAATTGGAATGGAGCAAATTGATGCTATCAGTGTCCCCGATACTCATAAAAAAATTACAAAACCTCTGCATAATTCCTTTAAATTCAAAGTAATTGTAAAATGATTGCACAATCACCTTTCCTCAGTATTCAAGCTCACCAACATGGGAATGGTCAGAAGTAGGACAATGGAGAAGCAAGTAGTAGTTGTGCGTATAAAATATAGTTGTTTCTTTCTTCCCATTTGTCAATTTGTTAAATTTTAAATTCAAGCTAAATTGAATGAGTATCCATCAACAAGATTACTGGTGGCAGAAGTTCACTCTCATTATCAGAATTGTTCCCCTTTAATCACACAATAAGAAGACCGAAGGAATAATCTTACCTCATCACCTTCTAATAATATCAACCCAACCAGTACAATATTAATACTGTTACCAAGACTACTGTCCTGGAATAATTTAGATACCTGAAAACACAAAAACATGTACATATATAAACAAATTTCTCGAGTCTAGAGGATTCATAAAATAACTCTGAAAAAGTTTCAAAGATGTGTAAAATCTCCCAAAACTTAGTATAAGTTGTTATAAACTTACCACATAAAATAAAGTTAGAGTATCAGTTATTAAAAACTTACCATATTAACTAAAGTAAGTGTATATACTGTTATATACATACTATACCAAAAAAAGTAAGAGTGTAAGTTATATACTTACCATATTAAATAAAGTAAGTGTTTATAATTAAGTTGTTGTAAATAAACTTACCATATTAATTAAAGTAAGAGTATAAGTTGTTATGAACTTACCATATTAAATAAAGTAAGAATATAAGTAAGAGTATATTTAAGTTGTTAAAAACTTACCATATTCAATAAAGTATGAGTATATTTAGGCTGTTATAAACTTACAATATTTTATAAAGTAAGAGTATAAGTTGTAATCAACTTACCATATTAAATAAAGAAGAGTATAAGTTGTTAAAACCTTACCATATTAAATAAAGTAAGAGTATAAGTTGTTATCAACTTACCATATGAAATAAAGTAATAAAGTAAGAGTATAAGTTGTTAAAACCTTACCATATTAAATAAAGTAAAAGTATAAGTTGTTAAAACCTTACCATATTAAATAAAGTAAGAATACAAGTTGTTAAAACCTTTCCATATTAAATAAAGTAAGAGTATAAGTTTTTTTTAAATAAACTTACCATATTAAATAAAGTAAGAGTATAAGTTGTTATAAATAAACTTACCATATTAAATAAAGTAAGAGTATAAGTTGTTATAAATAAACTTACCATATTAAATAAAGTAAGAGTATAAGTTGTTATAAATAAACTTACCATATTAAATAAAGTAAGAGTATAAGTTGTTATAAATAAACTTACCATATTAAATAAAGTAAGAGTATAAGTTGTTATAAATAAACTTACCATATTAAATAAAGTAAGAGTATAAGTTGTTATGTTGGAATCACCATGTTTATGGAACATTGTTTTATCAACCACTACCAATGTCTCCACAGTTTTAGGTTCTTTATTTTCTTTCTGGATCCATTTAAATGATGATCTTTTCTCTCTATGTACTGGATCTGTGTAAGGATTCTCTCCTAATGCTACCTCAAAAAATTGGAAAAGAGACACAAAAATTAACTCATATTTGACGAAAAACATAACTAATCTGAGTCTTATTGAATATTCATTTGCTAATCAAATCATCTAGTTGAAATGACATCTTAAAATGCCAAAATGTAAGTCAACAGATCTTATTGTTGGAAAAATGATGCAAATGTCCAATTTTATGTCTGACAGGTTTAATGTGCCTCACTGATAAGAGACCAAGCTATGTACACATTAAAGACAGGGATCAGTATTTGGACAACTGGCTTAATGAGGGGAGAATCACAATATTTCTATTTGCACTTAAAAATGAATGGGCAAATATTCGATTTAATTGTTATTATGCTGTAAGTTACTATAAATAAATATGAAATAACGAGAGCCAGTAAAATAGTGTGGGTGTATTGTTTAAGATTCCTGATATTAGTTGTGAAGACCTTTCTGTTTTCTTTCAGATTTAATATCCACATATAGACCATTGTTAACCACCTTATAGCACTAATTCATGTTTTAAACCAAAACCCAGTGTGATCTGATGAAAACATGTAAGAGACTGATTTATAACTAAGTCAAGGGCAATAACTCTAAAAGCACTCTAGAGAATGCAAACAATGTTTAACTAGATAACACACTAGACTTATTTTTATGTAGAAATAAATTAGTACAAACATTTCACAGTGAAAATTCAAAGATTTAATTGACAAAAGAAAGAAAAAATGCTTTGTTGTTTAATTTAATACCACTTTAGTTGGAACAGGTATTTGTCTGTTGAAAAACAGGTTCATTCTGTTCCACTGGCAGTTAGCGTTTAAAATAATCTGTACAATCATCTTGCCTTTTAACTCATTCAGAATGATATAACATGAAAGATACCAAGAAACAGCCCATCATGTTACAATAATACAAACATTTTTATAGTGTTTCTACCATCTTTATCATTACTTTAACACATTACATAAATACTACCTGATATTCACTTTTTTATCTTTCTCATTGACAGATTTACTTAAAGTGAATGTATCTTGTGTGTGTTATTGATGGGTCCCTTCATTTATTCTTAAAGGTGAATGTTTAATTTTGTTGCTTTCATCTCTTACTTTGGTGCAAGATTTTAGGATCAAATTGTCAACAATCAATATAACAAAACACAAGACAATATTATGGAATATAACACACTCCTTTAATAAGGTAGGGCACATAACGTTTCAACACAATATACACGTGTCGTCATCAGATGTCTTGTGTTTTGTTATATGTGCTCATTATGGATGATGTCAATATTTTATTTTTGAATAATATTAGTATTTCAATAATGATCTGCAAGAGACTACAGTCTAAACTTTCATATTACAATGTTGTTCAGTAAACAAAATGATGAAATTTTCCTACACTTACCAGAGTATTGATGTTTATGATGTTCATAATGAGACTGTGAGGATTGTAATGTTGATCTTTTATATAATTTATGAGGTAAACCAAGTTTCTTGAGTTTTTTATTCATATCAAAACCCATGATAATATGATGTTCTACAGGTTCTATTATATAGTCTTCTTCTGCTGTTCTTATTACACCTTTCTGAAATATTCAAAAACGCAGGATTACTATTTTGTATTTATTTATATATATATATCGGTCAGTTTTGATTCCATTTCAGGATTTCACCTCAAACAATTCAAAAGACAATACTTAGTGTAGTGTCTGAAAGCACTAGTGCCGCCATTTCTAACAAATTTCGATTTTTGCCCCAAAATATGTGTCAGAATGCACCATAAATTCTATTTTTCAAAATTGTCTAGGGAAGAACCATTTCAGACGCTCCATGAGAGGCTTGTACCTATGGTGCTGCCACGGAACTGTTGCATTTTGAACTTGACAGTTGTTCACCCATGAAGTCAGTCTGCCTCTTATTTGCACCCCCAGCCTTTCTAAAAAAAAATCAAATTTTTCGACAGTTGGATTTGGACATTATCCTTTAATCTGGAAATTACTTTGAAACAACCAAAATTAAAAATTATGATCAGGCAGAAAATCATCGTGAATGGAATCAAAATATTCTGTGAGTTGCCCAAATCTTCAAAATCTAGTTTTTCTTGATACTGCTGGCAGACATCTGTCAGAAAAAATTGCTGACCGAGTCTAAGATAAAACAGAATCTTGAACTTTGACCTGTTGATTACAGGTACTAAATGTGTATACACTAATTGCCATGTCAGCACCCATGTTTATAATCTTACAGACACTGTGATTCATTATGAATCATTTAATCTTAGATAATGATTCTTTGTTCTGGAGATAAAGCCATACTTAAAAAACATCATCAACCATCCACTTAACGTTTCTGGTGATGATATGTAAGTTAAAGGCACGGTATGTCATGTATTAAGATCTATTTTGTAAGCAAGCTAACAAAATCACCTGTTGTCTTGATTTGCATCAATATGCAAAAAGTAAACCTATTTTGTCTTATCACATTATTAATTGTAAAAAAAACAAAACAAAAAGTTGTATTAAATTCTACCCAGTTTGATTAATAAATACAACTCAGTAATCTAAATCTACTAATAACATTGATAGTGGTTGTATTAAATTCTACTCAGTTTGATTAAAGAATACAACTCAGCAATCTAAATCTACTATAATAAAATTGATAGTGAGTTGTATTAAATTCTACACAGTTTGATTAATAAATACAACTCAGTAATCTAAATCTATTAAAATAAAATTGATTGTGAGTTGTATTAAATTCTACTCAGTTTGATTAAAGAATACAACTCAGTAATCTAAATCTACTATAATAAAATTGATAGTGAGTTGTATTAAATTCTACTCAGTTTGATTAATGAAAACAACTTAGTAATCTAAATCTACTAATAACATTGATAGTGAGTTGTATTAAATTCTACTCAGTTTGATTAATGAAAACAACTCAGCAATCTAAATCTACTATAATAAAATTGATAGTGAGTTGTATTAAATTCTACTCAGTTTGATTAATGAAAACAACTCAGCAATCTAAATCTACTATAATAAAATTGATAGTGAGTTGTATTAAATTCTACTCAGTTTGATTAATGAAAACAACTCAGCAATCTAAATCTACTATAATAAAATTGATAGTGAGTTGTATTAAATTCTACCGCGTTTGATTAATAAATACAACTCAGTAATCTAAATCTATAAAAACAAAATTGATAGTGAGTTGTATTAAATTCTACTCAATTTGATTAAAGAATAATACCGTAATCAGTAATCTAAATCTATTAAAATATTGTATTAAATTCTACCTATTTTTCTGCATCTTATTGAACAGGTCATGCCATCCAGTGTACAAAGACATCGGTATTAGCCTACTCGTTTATTTTCTCAGATTTTCAACTTTTAAGGGATCTTTAACATGCACAGCCTGTAGAACAGTGTCTCTGTTTATCTTCCGATCAAAAGGATTAATCGCTTTTTCCACGTCAAGTACTTTGGACCAGTATTACCGACAGGGATAAGCCAGGATGAAAATCCAAGGATATTATCTCAACCCATGCTGGCAAAGATCCCTAGACCAGTGCACCTATAGATTGGCTAGCAAGCATCTAACTCACTCGAGCAACTATGGCTCCTTCACTGAGTATATATTAAAAGTATGTTTCATGACCCATATTGACTTTGACTTGAGCTCTCACAAAAACATCAGTGTAATAAGTATAAGATATCAGTAAAGAAATAGGATGAAGATTAAGAAAGGTAACTTGTCATCAAGTATAGGACAGTAATACCATTGTTAGAACTTGTTATAATCCTAATCCTATTGTCGACTCAGTTTTTCAAACTGGTATTTTATGATGTCTGTGTTCGGTAATCATCTTAAATTATCCCTTAGATCAGATGTCAGTCTAATCCTTTAAACAGATTATATGAAATTCGTCTATTTTTGTTAGAATTTTTCTATATACCTAAAATGTCATGTTATATGACTCATATATATCATAATTTGTAGTTAATAATTTTTAAATTCAACAAAGATGTGTGTGTTTGTGTTTGCTTATCACTTTGATAAACATTTTGATAAACATTTTGATAAACATTTTCTCCCATATAACTTTCAATAAAGTGCAGTGAGATATCTTCACTGAAGCATAACTTTATGACTGAAAATTGTCCTCTTAATAACCAAACAATGTCCTCACACTTTTGTCAGTATATCAAATTTTTCCCCCTCATTTTAATGAGACTTTGAATGTCAGCTTCAAAACAATACAGATAATCTTAAAATGACAAAGAGTTGATAACAAAATACTTTTGTACAAGGAATTACTAATATAAACACACCTTCCGAAGACCTTCAAACAAAATTATCCCAAATTTTGCCTGAAAAATGCTTTTTGTAAAAACAATTTCATAATTTCCACAATTATATATTTCTATTGAAGTCATACTATGACTATCAGTACTATATTAAAACCTATTCACACAAAAAGAAAGATGAAATTAGGAAAATCTGTGCATATGTTAAAATGTTAAAGGGACATTAAGCTTTTTTTTTGTAGGTCAGAATTTTTTCTTGCTCAAATTTGTGAAGACTACATCAAAATCTAGTGAAATTTGCCCTTTAACGTATCTGAAAGTTTTAACTAAATAAATCTAGCCCTTAATTTTCAAACGCCAAAATATTTAAAAACCCTAGTAAGTTACGCTTTTTGGCAGCTGTTAGACCAAAACACTACAACTAGGTCAAACTGCTAAATTAACAATTTGTACTTTAATTTACCCTTTTAAAACATTCAATTTGATCAAGTAGATATATAGATAAAAATACCATATTTTAGAAATATTTTCAAGTATAAAGCAGAATGTCCCTTTAAACAACCCGAGAATATCATTTCTAAAGCTGATATTTCAATTAAACTAAAAAAGCTGGAAAATTTGATTAGCACCAATCCTCTATGATTTGATAATCTCCAGCATACATTTGGTTAAATTTAATGCGTCAACCCTGCAGTAAGAGACAAGAGGACATTTGCATGTAAAATTTAGAAAGGAGGGTATGTTTAGTACTTTTGAAGACTATTTACATATATTCAAGACTCAAATCAATCCCGCAAAATGGTGCAACCGTCCATTTAAAAGAAGTTAATGTTGTAATGGTGTTGCAGAGCAGGGTCACTGCATTGTCTAGTGGTGCTCAAAGACAATTTTTTCCCTAAAATAGGATTTACCAATGACTGTAGAGATGTGGGTGTATGTTTATCAGTGAACAGGTGGAAGTTGCAGGAAGTTAAATAATGATGCAGGATAGTCAAAAAAGCAAACAGACCACAACTAACTTATCTGTTTGTATTTCCTGTTTTCATCCCATCCACACCTTTACCTGTGGTGTCTACAGTACTTCCTGTTTACCTGCTTTATCTAATCTGACATTCAATGATAAATCAGAGCTTGGTATGAACGTGCACCTGTACTATAGTTTGTCTTGTATGCAAGCATTGTTGTATTTTTAATTAAGATAAGACAAATGCCAATGATTTTGATAAATAAAGTCAAGTATAACTACAGAGGCTTTGATTCCATAATCTCAGAAAATTGAGCTTATTTCAATGTCAAATCATTTCCATCTGAAAAGATATATTACTCTATGTACAATTGACGTATTGAGCACTATTTTAACAATGGTATTTCTATATATCGCTCTACAATTGATGTATTGAGCACTATGCAGTGGTATTTCTATATATCGCTCTACAATTGATGTATTGAGCACTATTTTAACAGTGGTATTTCTATATCGCTCTACAATTGATGTATTGAACACTATTTTAACAGTGGTATTTCTATATCGCTCTACAATTGATATATTGAGCACTATTTTAACAGTGATATTTCTATATCGCTCTACAATTGATGTATTGAGCACTATTTTAACAGTGGTATTTCTATATCGCTCTACAATTGATGTATTGAACACTATTTTAACAGTGGTATTTCTATATTGCTCTACAATTGATGTATTGAAAACTATTTTAACAGTGGTATTTCTATATTGCTCTACCATTGATGTATTGAACACTATTTTAACAGTGGTATTTTTATATCACTCTACAATTGATGTATTGAGCACTATTTTAACAGTGGTATTTCTATATCGCTCTACAATTGATGTATTGAACACTATTTTAACAGTGAGAATTTTTAATTAATATTACTCTATTTCAATAAGTTAGGCCATTTTATTTCAATTCTCGCAAATTTTAATCTTTGATCTTTATATTTTGAATTATATACTTCTCCCCCTCTTATAGGATAAACTTTTCACATTTTGACAATCAAAACTTCAAAGCAAGTTGGCCACAAACATTAAAGAAGGGAATGCATAGATGACCGCAGGAGATGTTTTTCAAACTTTGATTCACTATAATAATTGACCCACAAAAACATAAATCTAACCCTTTCCTTTACAAAATACCAAATCCCCATGAATCAATTGCGAGATGTACCAAACAAACCTTCAAAGGTGGGTGAACTTGATTCATCAAATTACTCTACAGTCAAGCGTCAATTCTTGTTAATTCAACAAACTATTAGATAAT